CAGGGGATGGCTAGTCTATATAAATAAAAATGTAATGTTCATTTGTGGGATTAACATAGCTCAAAAACCACTGGATGAATTGACACCAAATTTGGACACAATACATATATCAAGCCAACGAGTGACCATCACTCAAAAACACTGAAAAACACAAGAGAAGAGACTTAAAAAGCGAAAAAATAAATAATACATTACAACACATTTGCAAACTTACATATATATATATATATATATATACACACACACACACAAAACAGATATACAAGACTGGGCCACAGCAATGCATGGCAGGGGATGGCTAGTATATTATATTCCATTATATTATTGACACATGGCTATCATGTCTCCTCTCACTTTGTTTAACATTTTTTACTAACCATCAACCACAACCACCACTTACAAAGAACTTTACATATGCTGATGACCTCGGTCTAACAACACAAGCAAAGAGTTGGTTGGTTGGCTGGAAGAAAGCAACGCAGGGCAAACGTTGCAGCGGGATATAAATGCTAATACTGTACTAACAATAATGATTTTTGTCTTCTCGTATTCTTCTATTTAGCTGCACTTCCAAGAACCCCCAAAGCCCCGGAAGCTGCGGCCTTTGCCAGGACAACCTCCCGCTCCCAGTTTGGTGAGTTGAGATACTGAGAAGTACTGGGGGGAGGAATTGTAGTTCAGCTTTGCCCATGGGTTTAATTATGGTGAGTAGCTTTTTAAGGGGACTGGCTGGATAAATGTCTTGTCTCCTGTTATGCTAATAATATAATATAATATAATATAATATAATATAATATAATATAATATATAATATTTTGTGTGTGTGTGTGTATATCTATAATATTTATAATATTATATTATAATATAATATTATAATGTAATACAATATAATGCTACTAATAATAATATGATATTATAATTATATATTTTGTATTATATGTAATATCACTAATAATATTACAGTACAATGGTATAGTTCAATCTATATAAATAAAAATGTAATGTTCGTTTGTGGGATTGACATAACTCAAAAACCACTGGACGAATTGACACCAAATTTGGACACAAGACACCTAACAACCCAATGTATGTCCTCCACTCAAAAGAATTGATTTTGTCATTTGGGAGTTGTAGTTGCTGGGATTTATAGTTACTTACAATCAAAGAGCATTCTGAACCCCACCAACGATGGAATTGAACCAAACTTGGCACACAGTTCTCCCATGACCAACAGAAAATACTGGAAGGGTTTGGTGGGCAGTGTCCTTTGGTTTTGGAGTTGTAGTTCACCTACATCCAGAGATCACTGTGGACTCAAACAATGATGGATCTGGACCAAACTTGGCACGAATACTCAATATGCCCAAATGTGAACACTGGTGGAGTTTGGGGAAAATAGAATCTTGACATTTGGGAGTTGTAGTTGCTGGGATTTATAGTTCATCTACAATCACAGAGCATTCTGAACCCCACCAACGATAGAACTGGGCCAAACCTCCCACACAGAACCCCCATGACCACCAGAGTGGGCCACAGCCACACATGGCAGGGGATGGCTAGTGTAGTAATATATAATACTGATATTGTGCTATGCTAATAATATAATATATCATATGTATATATATCTTGTAAGCTGCTCTAGGTCCCCTTCGGGGTGAGAAGGGTGGCATATAAATGTCGTACATAAATAAAATAAATAAATGGAAAAGATGGGGCCATCAGCAGGTCAGGATGGGTAGATGTCGCAGGGCTTACTTTGGCCCCATCTACACTATCATAGGATGCAGTTTTGTAATGCAGTGTGATACTCACATACTGTGTTTTGGACTTCAACTCCCACAATTCCTAACAGCCTACCGGCTGTTAGGAATTGTAGGAGTTGAAGTCCAAAACATCTGGAGGGCCAAAGTTAGGCCATGCCTGCAGTCTAGCTTTTAGGTTGCATCGCTGTTGAAAGAACCAAAGGTAGAAGAGACCTGAAACATGTCAATGTTGATGTTTCAGCCGCAGCCCGGAGTGCAAAAGCGAGATGCTCCCAAACCTTCTGATGAGAAGAAAGAGGAGAAGAAGGAGCCGGGAAGCAGCCAAGACCCCAAAGAAGGGCAGAAAGCCACCGAGGAGGGAAAGGCGGGGATGCCCTCTGCTCCAACTGATGGCAAAGATGACAAGAAGAAACCAGATGCACAGAAGACCCCGTGGGAGGTGAGTAAGTCGGCGAGAAGGGAAAGTTTGCTTCTTCTAGAGTCCTATTTAGACCTGGGGAGGACTGTGTTGTGGGCGAATTTCCTCTCCTTGAAGCCAAGCCTGGATTCTGGATGGAGAACATCACAGGAAGGAGAACGTTGGGGACAGGGAAGGAACTGCTTTGATTCAACATCTAAGAACCAGTATTAATTGCTGGTTTCCACCTTCCTGTCCCTGCTCTCTGGAGCCCCTGGTGGCGCAGTGGGTTAAAGAGCTGAGCTGCTGAACTCGCTGACCGAAAGGTCGCAGGTTCGAATCCGGGATAATCCATAAACTTCAAAGGGAAACCAGGTCCATTTGTACATAGAAATCCACAAATTTGGCAATTGAAACCATCAAACAAAAGAGCAGGAAAATCCCATAGACAAAACTTAAACTTGGCAAAAAACTTGGTACATGAAACTCAGAGCACTTGAAAGCAAGACCATGATAAAATAACGTTGACTCAACTGAGGCAATTGTCTGCCATGAATCATTATAAACACTTTCAAGAACTCAAAACCGAAAGGAAAGCATTCTTTTTAGCAATTTATTGTAGAATATATGTAGGCAAAGCAGTAAAAAATAGCAAAACAGTAAAAGTCCAAAATCTAAATCAATTAACTTAAAAGGGAAACCAGGTGTATTAATACATAGAAATCCATGAAGCAAGGCACTTGAAACCATCAAACAGCTTGAAACCATTAAACAAAACAGCAGGAAAATTTCATAGGCAAAACTTAAGCTTGGCAAAAACTTGGTACATGAAACTCAGAGCACTTGAAAGCAAGACCGTGATAAAATAACAACGTTGACTCAACTGAGGCAACTGTCTGCCATGAATCATTATAAACTCTTTCCAGAACCCAAAACCGAAAGGAAAGCATTCTTTTTTAGCAGTTTATTGTCGAATATATGTAGGCAAAGCAGTAAAAAAATAGCAAAACAGTAAAAGCCCAAAATCCAAGATAATCAATTAACTTAAAAGGGAAACCAGGTGCATTAGTACATAGAACTCCACGAAGCAAAGCACTTGAAACAATGAAACAAAACAGCAGGAAAATCCCATAGGCAAAACTTAAACTTGGCAAAAAACTTGGTACATGAATCTCAGAGCACTTGAAAGCAAGACCATGATAAAATAACAACGTTGACTCAACTGAGGCAACTGTCTCCCATGAATCATAAACCCTTTCCAGAACCCAAAACCGAAAGGAAAGCATTCTTTTTAGCAGTTTATTGTAGAATATATGTACGCAAAGCAGTAAAAAATAGCAAAACAGTAAAAGTCCAAAATCCAAGATAATCAATTAACTTAAAAGGGAAACCAGGTGTATTAGTACATAGAAATCTACGAAGCAAGGCACTTGAAACTATCAAACAAAACAGCTTGAAACCATCAAACAAAACAGCAGGAAAATCCCATAGGCAAAACTTAAGCTTGGCAAAAAAAACGTGGTACATGAAACTCAGAGCACTTGAAAGCAAGATCATGATAAAATAACAACGTTGACTCAACTGAGGCAACTGTCTGCCATTAATTATTATAAACCCTTTCCAGAACCCAAAACCGAAAGGAAAGCATTCTTTTTTAGCTGTTTATTGTAGAATATATGTAGGCAAAGCAGTAAAGCACCTCACTACCTCTGAGGATGCTTGCCATAGATGCAGGCGAAACGTCAGGAGAGAATGCCTCCAGACCATGGCCACATAGCCCGAAAAAACCTACAACAAACCACTTCTCCCCAGTGTTTCTTCTTCATCCAATTCTGGGCACCATCGTTCAAAAGAGATATTGACTCTAAGATGGAAGGTGTCCAGAGGAAGAGGGCAACTAAAATGATCATAGGTCTGGAGACCATGAATCCCTATGAGGAGTGGCTTAAAGAGCTTGGTTTGTTTATCCTGCAGAAGAGAGGGTTGAGGAGAGACATGATGAGGGCCATTATAAATACCTGAAGGAATGCCATAAGGAAGAGGTTGCAGGCTTGTTTTCTACTGTCCTGGAAATTAGATCTCAATGAAGCCATGGGTTCAAATGACAGGAAAGGAGATTCCACCTGAACATTAGGAAGTAGGCCTGGGCAATGAATGGTTCTCAATGGTTCTAAAGTACTTACAAAACTAAAGTTCTGGTGGTGAAAATTTCAGAACTCTAACAAA